GAGGAGGAGGAGGAGGAGGAGGCGGAGGCGGAGGCGGAGGCGGAGGCGGAGGCGGAGGCGGAGGCGGAGGCGGAGGCGGAGGAGTAGGGCCTCTTCGGGTCGCCGTGGCGTGGGGTCCTGGAGGAGAGATGCCCCGAAGGTTTTTGCACCCCCGAACGGTGGCCCGGCGTGAAAAGTCCGTCCCAGGGAGAGCTCCAGGGTCCAGGACGCGTTTCCCCCAGCAGACGGCACCGGGCGTCTCAGAAGCGTCCTGCTGCTCAAGAGCCGTACGTGCCGCACCCGACAGGCGGAGGCCCTTCCCAGGAGGCCGCCCGCAGGACCCTGCCACCTCTTGCGTGCCGCCCAGTCTGCGCGCAGCTCCGAGCCGTGTGGTCGCGGGGTGGTGGCTGCACCGTGACCACCAGGTGATCGTGCGACGACCACGCGCCTTGCTCGCCCCCCAAAATGTTGCAGGCAGGGATCCATCATTTCGCATCGCATCCGCGCTTGTCTTTGCACTCGGGAGGATAAGGCGACGACGGCTTGTGGCAGGGTTGCCTGCCCCCGGATTCGTGGTGGACTCAATGCAGAATCAAGCGTGTGCGGTGTCTCCCTCTCGCCTCCTCTTTTACCTTCCCTTAGTCTCCCTACGCCTTTCCATCCGTACAGTTGTTACATCTGTTCAACCTTGTAGGCGTGCCCCAAACGAGAACCACATGTTGAACAGGAATTGTTCTCCATCCTGGCAGATGTTGCACACTTTAAGATGAATGTGGACAGTGCTAAGTCGAGATGTCCATTGTCAAAACGAGCGGCTTCCACAGGTGTCTGAAGGGGAAGGAGGAGGCGGAGGAGGAGAAGGAGGAAGAGGAGGCGGATGAGGAGGAGGAGGAGGAGGAGGAGGAGGACCAGTGTAAACCAAAGAGTCATCAACGATGTTGGAATAAACCCTCTCTCCAAGCTTCCTCTTCACATGCCCCTCCAACGGGTCATATCCATTGAGGGAACTGCCTCTTTGGGAGACAACAGTTCGAAGACCCTGAAGCATGCCAAAACATTGTTCTCGGGATTCCAACGCCACGGATTTACCTGACTGTTGCGTCTTGACAATCCTGCATCGCGCCAGAATGCCATTTCTAGGACTTCAGCACAGCGAATCAACATAACTGTTGCGCCCGCATGCTCCTGAATCCTTTCCAAACACCATTTCTGGCACTTTGATGATGAGAAGCCGTGGCACTTTTGCGTATTTTGTAAACGAATGTGCGCGGCGCTAAAGTGAGAACCACATTTTGGAAAGGAGCCGCCCTCAATCCGTGAAGCTCTTGCAAACAACACGAATATGCGCTGCGCTAAGGCGGGAGCCACATTTTTTAAACCGCCCGCCCTCAACCCGTGAAGCTCTTGCATGTTTGACGAATGTACGCCGCGCTATGGCGAGAGCCACATTTTGAAAACCACCCGCCCTCAATCAGAGAAACTCTTGTAAGTTTTGAACAACTAATGTGCGCCGCGCTAAGGCGAGAGCCACATTGTAAAAACGACTAGCTTTCAATCCGTGAAACTCTTGTAGTTCAAAAAAAAACGAATGTGCGCCGCGCGAAGGCGAGAACCACATTTTCAAAACCACCCGCCCTCAATCCGTGAATTTCTTGCAATTGGTTATAAGCGAATGTGCGCCGCGCTGAGGCGAGAGCCACGCTTTGAAAACAACCCGCCCTCCATTTGTGAAGCTGTTGCCAGTTTGTAAGCTTCAGAGCCATTAGTGGTGAGGACGTCTCAGGTGAAACGCCCGGCCCGCCCTAGAAAAACTGGCCCTGGGATGCGGCAGGGAGAAGTTATTTTTAAGGAAAAGGAATGGAGGAGAAGGGAGGAGGAGGAGGAGGAGGAGGAGGAGGAGGAGGAGGAGGAGGAGGAGGAGGAGGAGGAGGAGGAGGAGGAGGAGGAGAGGAGGGGGAGGGGGGGGAGGAGGAGGGGTAGGAGGAGGAGGAGAGGAGGAGGAGGAGGGTGGAGGATAGAGAGGAGGAGGAGGAGGAGGAGGAGGCGGAGGAGGAGGGGGAGGAGGAGGAGGAGGTGGAGGGGGAGGAGGAGGAGCATGGGAGCATGGGACAAGCAGTAGTCATGCCGCCGTAACGACAAGCCCCGCGTCGCCCGTAGGGCGAATGGACGCTGGCACTGGGTAGGGGTATGACGCCTAGCGACTCGCTGCCCCGCCGACGGGACCCCGCAAGCCCATTGTTCACCCGTCGCCTGCCGATCCTTGCAACGGCTTGGCCGACGGGGGGCTGCACTGGCCAAGTTCACCTGCCAACGGTTTTAAGCCGTTTGCTCAAATAAGAGCAGCAGGGCCAGTATGGGTGCCAGCCGACGGGCACGCGTAAGCGGGGTCTGCCCAGGGCCACTGGCACCACCTGAGAGAACGCCGCCCGGGAGTAGACCCGAAGGCCCCATGGGACTCACGGACCACATGGCCCCGCCACTCCGCGGAAATACGCGATCCGGACTCCGCCTTTGCAGCTGACGCCGCTGCAGATGGGCCAAGGTTCAGACCCATTGCGCGGATGCAGGGGAGCCGTACTCATCCCTGTCCGCCAACGAAGACGACCGCCTTCCTACGCCAGGTCCATTACATCAACTGCTCATGACAGTGTGCCCCGAGGCAAGTGTGGCGCTGGCACCATGAAACCAGGTGCCAGGCCCCCGCCTGGGGCGGGGGAGGAGGAGGAGGAGAAGGAGGAGGAGGAGGCGGAGGAGGAGGAGGAGGAGGAGGAGGAAGAGGAGGAGGATGGAGGCGGAGGAGGAGGAGGAGGAGGAGAGGAGGAAGCGGAGGAGGTGGAGGAGGAGGAGGCGGAGGAGGAGGAGTTGTTGTTGGTGGTGGTGGTTGTTGTTGTTGTGGTGGTGGTGGAGGAGGAGGGGGAGGTGGAGGAGGAGGAAGAAGCAGAAGAGGAGGAGGAGGAGGAGGAGGAGGAGGAGAAGGATGGGGAGAGGGAGAAGGAGGAGGAGGTGGAGGAGGATGAGGAGGAGGCGCCTAGGAGGACAAGGCACACGACGAGGAGGAAGAGGAGAAGGACCTCTTCCCCCTTCACATCCAATTCGCCAGCCCCCTCGATCTTCTTCTTTCCGTCACCGTCAGATCTCTTTCTTTCGTTTCACTTCTTCCCTTTTCCTCTCTTTCCCTTCCCTCCCTTCTCGTCCTTCCCTACTTCAAACCGCGTACACCCCCGAGAACCAGAGCATCCTACAGCCGCTGTTGTTTGCTCCTCGTCCCTTCTCCTCGTACCAGTCCCCCCTTCTCCTCACCACCCTCCTAGCACCGCTTAGAGAACTCCTTCGAGCCCCCACGTGCCACTAGAGCCCCCT